GCTCTTTAGCTCCGCGTATTTCCAGTCGTGTTGTGGTCAGGGTTTATTCCCTGTAGTTCCCAGCCTTCCCTTGTGGGGGTTTTGGGTCTCTGTGGTCAGTGCCGTCCTGTTTTGTGTCGGTTCTGGGTTTTCTTTGGGTCACCTTGTATAAATGGGCTCAGTCTCCCCGTGCCGTTGTCTCTGATTGCCGTCCTCATTTGTGTCCAGCCTCGAGTTTATGCAGCTGCCTTGTCTGTGACACTTTGTATTTTTGGCTTTGAAGGGTTCACTTTGTGCTGGAAATGATTGGAGATACTGGGGCAGTGCATGAAATGTTTAAAGCTTCCTGGTGCTGCTCTGTAGGAAAACAAACTGATATTACACTGAACAAAAACTCAACACTTTTGTTTTTGCTCCCGTTTATCATGAGCTGAACTCAAAGATCTGAAACATTTTCTATAAAAACAAAGACCCGTGACTCTCAGATCTGTGTAAATCTGTGTGATCTGAATCTGGTTTTTATTGTTTGATAAAAAGTTGTCTGTCTGTCTGTCTGTCAGTGAACTGCCTGGATGTCCACGTGGAAAAACATCCGGACCGAGTGGCTCTGATCTGGGAGCAAGATGAACCCGGCACTGAGGTGAAGGTCACCTACAGGTAAGAACACCTGTTATCATTTAATCAGCTGTACTGATAGAAATCAAGCCATGACCTCCCTCTATGCAGATGTCACCGCTCTTTATCTTATCAGCACGCAGCAAAGCCACAGAGGTGTTAGAGCAACGTAAAGGTGGAGCAGGTGTTTCTGATGTGCTGTGCATCTTCACCTAACCTCAGCTGTCAGCAGCTTCACTTTGCAGGGTTTCAGTTACAGCTGTGATGGTCTGATTGATATATTCAGCTGAGAGTCTCTCTGCCAACAGCATGGGAGCTAACCAAAGGAGATAACCAAATCCAAACACAGCAAAGTCCAACTGGAATAACATCATCTCGAAGAGAACAAAGATTACACAGCAAGAAACACCAGGCAGGATGTAAAACTAGAAGGATGCACAACAGAAGATTAACCTTCAAAGTAAAACAGGAAGTAACCACAATGACTCTAGAGCTGTGTCCCAAAACGTCCTGCGACTAGTGATGTGTTGGTCGCGAACGAAACGGCTCTGAGAGCCGACTCGTT